ACTCTATCTTTGTGGGGTTTTCTGGAGATCTTATTACGTAGGCACAATTGACTAAATAATTGGTCATTGGCAATCTGTTCAACCTCTAGGCCCTCTCCCCTCCCTGGAAGTCAGGAGTTGGAATTGAAAGTTTCAGCTCTCTAATCACAAGGTTGGTTCCCCTGGCAACCGGCCCCCATCTTTAGGTACTTTGCAAAGTCACCTCATGAGCATAACAAAGGACACCTTTATGGGTTCTCATCACTAAAGACATTCTAAGGGTTTTAGGAGCTCTGTGCCTGGAACTGGGACGAAGACCAAGTCTGTATTTTGTATTATAAATCACAGTATCACAGTTGGCTAAGGTTCTTCTGGAGTAAATAAGCCTAGTTAATTTAAGCAACAAAAACACTATTGGAAGGACCCTGGGGTATGTCATGGAATTCCAGCCTTAGGAGAATTGTGGGAGCCGCAGCAGCTGGAGGCTAGGGGCCTTCCTCTCACATGGCTCCATCTCTTCCTCTCTCTCTCTGCTCTTTGCTGTGCACACGCTTCCTCCCCTTCCCAGACAGCGTGATGGAAAGAGGCTTGCCAAACAGCTTCCAGTGTGTGTTACTGGTTCAGCCATTTTGAAGAAGGAGCTTCTCTCTCTCTTTCCCAAATTGAGATTCCTGGGAAGGAATTAATTGATCAGTTTGGATCATATGTTAACTCCCACACCAGTCTGCTGTAGCTAGCCAGCAGATGGTATTACATGTACAAGCCTGACTATCCCACTATAACCTGCACTGTGAACAGTTCCCAAACCAGGGTTGACCGAGCAGACAGTCCAGTAGATTCCATCCAAATAAACATACAAGCAGGACAAAATAGTTTATAGGAAAGGCTAAGGCTCAGAATGGTTGGCTTAATGAAAAATACCAACAGCAATGACAGCAACGTTAACCTAGGATCAAACCACAAGAATAAAGAAAAGGTACAACCATTGCTGGAGAAAGACTGAAATGTCAACAGATATCAACAAGAAAGTAAGACTAAGGATTCCAAGTTCATCATTCTGAAGATCTCTTCAAAGTGGAAAGGATAAGACAGCCAGACCTAAGACGGCACCCATTGCCGTCTGCCTTGCCTTAATAAACTGTCAGAGCACCTTTGGAACTGACAAATGTTAGTTACGGTTGGTGTTGATTCAAATTCCGTGCAGTTGTGCATCATCATGTGGCCTCATACTAAATCAAAAGTCAGCACTTGAGTTCAAAAGATCACTTGTAGTTCATGAACTGACTCCACAGCAGGTATGAGAAAAAAAGATCTGTGGGTTATATTGTCCATAAACTTTATTACAAGTTTCCAGTGATATGGCTGCCGAAGAATATCAGACGTCTCCTTTAAAAAATGATATGGGTCTGGCCGGGTGGCTCGGTTGGGTTGGAGCATATCATCCTGTATACCAAAGGTTGCATGTTCAATTCCCAGTCAGGGCACACATATGGGAGGCAACTGATCAATGTTTCTCTTCATCTCTCTCTTCCCTTTCACCACCTTCCTCTCTCTCTAAAATCAATAAAAAAAAAAAAAAATCCTTGGTAAAGATTAAAATAATTTTTAAATGACACCTATGTATACAATAAATTATATATGTATATATACAATTTCTACATTTAGAGGAGGTTGTGAGTGTGTGTGTGTGTGTGTGTGTGTGTATGTGTACATATGAATAAAATTTGGAAATATAGAAAACACAAAGAAGAAAGTAAAGTGAAGCCATAATTACTTGAGGCAGCACCTACTTCTGTGAGCGTTTTGGTGAACTCCGTCCCAGGCTCTCTTTCAACGCTCACATGCGGAGTCCTTCTGGCTTTCAGTCCAGTGTTCTTTCCTCTCCTGTGTAATCGAAGCCAGTGCTACCTGAAGTCTGTCTGTAGCCGGCAGCATCACTGTCCCCCTGAAACTTGCTGGAGATGACAACATCTCTCCCTGGCCCTGGTCCAGGCCTGCTGAGTCAAATCCCTTCCAGTGAGCACGCATCCTGTGCATCCGAGTCACCGCGGTTGGAAAGTTTCAGGAGGACCAGTGTGTAACCGGTGCTCCTCCAGATGTGGTCTGCCACCTAGTCCTGGGCTGGACCAGACAATACAAAAATTCAGAGTAACCACTTAGAAATATTTGTGTTACTTTGACATGGCTGCAACATCCAACCATGCAATTCTTTTTTAAAAATAGTTTTATTGTACTTTACAAAATCTCTTCATAGTAGATTCCTTTAAAAAAAAAAAAAAAGACAAAGGGAAATTCGTGAAAGTTGGTACCCGTGGGAAAAGATGGAAAGAGCAAATGAGACTTCATTTTCTTTAGTTAAAAACAGTGTACAAAAGCACAAGCAAAGAAAAACACCATCTGTTTCTCTTCTGAGACAAAACTGCTTGTTTCCAAGAGGAACCAGCCACAGCGGCAGCCACTTGCAAGGGGCACTTCTAAAATGAGTGCTTGCTTGTTCGTTGGGAGTGGGAGATTTTGAATTTGGTGTGGAGGGATAAGCAGGAGCTAGACTTTGGCCTTTAGAAACAAAGGGGGGCACTGTAGGTTTGTTTTTTTCACCATAGGTTTTTTAAAACTGGGAAATGGCACAATCAGATCCGTGTTTTGAAATAAAGAGGGGAGACTGGGTGGAAGAAGATGAGTGGGAAGGCACTTGCAGTTGCCTGGTCAAGAGCTGACTGGAGCTTAGGATGGTGGTGCTGCTGGAGATGAGGAAAAGTTGGAAATCAAGATTTGTCTTTTGTCTTCACTTTTGTTAAAAGTAAAGTTTGAATGCATGTGTAGGGAGATGAGGTAGAGAATTGCCTCATTCCAAGGTTTGGCTTTATTTCCTGTCTATCTTAATACTCAAGGTTTTCAACACAATCAAGTTTCTGTGCTATTTATTCCAATGCAGGATAGGTAAATGGTTGTATAGCTTGCATTTGCCTTTGTCTCACAGTCTGCTCTCAGCTCTGGGCATTTTCCTCTGACTTTACCTGAAGACCTGGAGAGCATGTTTCCATCTTAATCTACTATAGAAAATCTAGCTATTGTCCTTTTTTATTTTTTTTTTCATTCTGGACCTTAGAACCTGAGAAAATGATTTTAATTTTATCTCCACAACAACAACAAAAATCAATCTGAATATTTAACGAGTTTTATTGAAAATATGATTTCCCCAGGAATACACAGGTATAAAACTTATCAGTTAAAAATTTAATATTATTTATTATATATGATATGTGTCTGCTCACATGACTACTAACTTTTGGTATTTAAATTCAATTTGTATGTATTGAGGAGACTACTCAGTGCCTAGCATGGTCTATGCAGTGATTCCCAGATTCTGGTCTTAACTAGCCAGTAATATTTCTTATACAATTGGGGAGTCTAACCCAGGGCGCCTTTTTTATTTTATTAATTAAAAACCTACAAAACCAAATTAAGAATTTTTATCTTTACTGTCACTATAAATTGAAAAATCTAAGAAACAGTTAATACCAAAAACACCAAAGGATAGGAAGTAGACAAGAAAAGATTCTAGCCCAGCGTGGCTTGGTTGGTTGGGCATTGTCCCTCAAAGTGAGAAGTCGCTGGTTCAGTTCCAGTCAGGGCGCATGGCTGGGTTGCAGGTTTGGTCCCAGTCAGGGCACGTACAGAAGGCAACTGACCAAACAATCGATGTTTCCCTCTCACATCAATGTTTCTCTCCCTCTCTTTCTCCTTTCCTTCCCCCTCTCTAAAATCGAAAATAAAATAAATTTTTTTAAAAAAGAAAAGGTCCTGTTTTCTCCATTAGTTTTTTTCTTTTTTTAATCCTCACCCAAGGACATGCTCACTCTTTTATTTTATTTTATTTTAATTGTTCAAATCCATTGGTCTCCATTTTCCCACCACCACTTCCCCTGCCCCACCTGCCCCCACATCCCACCCTCAATCCTTCCCCATGCTCACTGATTTTAGAGGGGGGCGGAGAGAGAGAGAGAGAGAAACACCAATGTGAAAAAGAGACATCTATCTGTCTGTTGCCTCACATACCCTGGCTGGGAATCAAACCCACGCCCCTTTGGTTTATGGGTCAATGCTTCAAACAACTGAGCCACACAAGCCATGGATCTCCATTAGTTTTTAAAAACCAATTTTACTGGAGGCATACTTTATACATAATAAAATGCATGCCTATTAAGTGAGGAAAAAATAGAACAGAGCCTTAGAAAACAGAACAGCGATTAAAACCAAATATTTTAGGTTTAGTGTTTGAAAAATGCATACATCTCTTTTATTTTTCTCTTTTTCCCATGGATTGGTGAGAGAGTCCTCCAGGTTGGTCTGCAGGTACAATTTGGGAGCTGCCATTCTAGGAGTGGCTGAGAAGGAGGAACTTTACTCAAAACAGTGTAGTATAGGAGAAGTAATTTACCCTCTACCCTCTTACATTCTTGGCTGACACCCCCAGACATCACCATAATAAAATATGTGAACGGGTAAGAAAAATTTTCATTACATACATACACGTGGCAGTCCCACAAGGTGAGACTCAAGAGGTAGCGCAGATGATTGAGGCTAATAATACCCTCCTGAGCTAAGGGCAGGGCCAGGGGCCTGGGGCTGCAGTTCAGGGGAGGGTGAGAAGAGGAAGTGTTTGGTAAACAGTGGCGTCCCTGCCTCGTGGGTAAGTCTCTCCAGTGAAAAGTTGTCTCTGCTGATAGCCCTGTTCCTGGTGCAGGCCGCCTTGCTAGTGTGAACCTTCCTTACAGAAGGGTGATACTCAGTTTTCAGAGCTTCTGTGTCTGCCATTTCTCAAAAATAATAAATATGCCAAATTGCCTGGCAATTCTGCTGCCTTCTGACCTAGAAGATGTAGGAAGGCCAAGGAAAAGGTGAGGCCACCCGCTGAGGCACTGTAGCTGTGGGGAGGGGAGGAGAACCATTTTTTGCATCCATGGATTCTTTCATTAACGCTTACCAATCCACCTTTTTTCTTTTTTAACACTGCGTAGCCTATCAGCTTATCACCGTAGTGATTGCAGCAGCAGGAGGTGGGCTTCTGCTCATTCTAGGCATCGCACTGATTGTCACCTGTTGCCGGTGAGTGATGGAGTTCACATTCTAATTGTTTCTTTGCGTGTGCTACACGAGGGCCAATTTTTACTCTTAAGGAATGTTTGGGGTGGTTTATGACATTGTCAATGGCTATGACTGAACCGTTAAAAAAAGGAGAAAGGGAAATTCATGGTAGGTAGTGCCATTGGAGGAAAGAAAAAGACAGCAAATAGGACTTTATTTTCTTTACTAAAAAGAAATATCACAAAGCACAAGCAACAAAAACGATAGGTTGGACTGCATCAAAATTAAAAACATCTCTGCTATATCGGAAGAAATTTTTTTCTCTACCCTTCTAGGTTCTTTGGCTGGTCCAATAACCAGATTAACATAAGGCCGATAAATGGGGGAAAAGAAGTTTAATTACATATGTAGAGGGGTGGGTGACAGCACAGAAGAATATGAAACCCACAGGTAGCCAGGCAGGCAGGCAATTAAGGCTCATATACCATCCTGAGCTAAGAGAAAGGGGTAGGGGCCTGGGACTTCAAAAGGGAGGAAAGCAATTTACGGGAAGATGGAAAGAGCAAATGTTTTATAAACAGTGTTTGCCATGCCGTGCAGAGGCAGTGGGATGCAGAGAGGACTTCGAACAAACAGGCCCCCCTGAGCTCCCCCATCGCTTTCCACACTTAGCCCCGTACTCCTTGTAGTTATCTCTGGTGATAGCTCTCTTTCTGGAGCAAGCCCTCTATCTAAATTCTTTTCAGCACTTAAAGGGAGGTATAAAAGCTCTTCCTGAGTCTTTTGGGCCTTGATTGTCTTTAGTTCAAAATAGTCCACATGCCAAAGTGGCACATTCTGGCAGGACCTGTTCTGAACCCCTTCAGCTTCAAAGGTTGCTATCAAGAAAGTGAAAAAGACAACCCCCACACACAGAATGGGAGAAAGTATTTGCAAATAAATCATATGTCTAATAAGGAACTAGTACCTAGAATATGTGAAGTTCCTTACTAGGAACTAGTACCTAGAATATGTGAAGTTTATTATTGAGTTCTTACAACTCAATAATAAAAAGACAACCCAATTTAAAAATGGGCAAAGAACTTGATTAGATATTCCTCCAAAGATGACATACAAATGTCCAGTAGACACATGAAAGGATGTCCAACATCATTAGCCATAAGGGAAATTCAATCAAAACCGCCATGAGATACTACCTTACACCTACTAGGATGGCTATTTACAAAGCAATTTTAAAGGCAGGAAACTACAAGTGTTGGTGTGAGGATGTGGAAAGATTAGAACACTAATACACTGCTGTGGAAATGGGAAATGATGCAACCACTTAGAAAATGTCTGGCAGTTCCTTAAACAGTTGCCATTTGACCCAGTGCTTCCACTCTTACGTATATACGAAGAGAAATGAAAACTACATCCACACAGAAACATGTACGTGAATGTTCATAGTAGCATTATTCATAATAGCCAGAGGTGAAAATAATCCCAATATCCATGAATTGGTGACTAGATAAGGAAAATGTGACATATCCATACAATGGAATATTACTCAACCATCAAAAGGAATGAAATACTGACACATGCTATAATGTGCATGAGCTTTGAAAATATGATGCTAAATGAAACAAGCCAGTCACAAAAGACCACCTATTGTATGAGATTCCATTTGTATGAAATGTTCCAAGTCGGTGCAGCCAATAGAAACAGAAAGTAGATGGGTGGTTGCCTAGGGCTGGGTGGGCAGGGGGGAAATTGATAAGTAATGGCCGAGAAGTATGGTTTCTCTTTGGGGTAATGAAACTGTTCTAAAATTGATTGTGATGATAGTTGCACAACTCTGAATATACGAAAAGCCACTGATTATATATCAACACTTTAAGTGGACAAATTAAAAAACAAACCAAAAGAAATGAAAGGGGTTACCTGAAGTATTTATTTGAGCATATAGAGAAGCCGTAGCAGGCACTTGGGATGAGCAGAGACTTGGCAGTGTGCTTGGCTCTGGGCTTCCTGGGAGCCAGTGGGATTGGGTTTCCACTGGGAGAGGAAGACAAAGGACAGAGTGGCTCCCCTTCTCTGTGAGTATTTATTCAGATAAGGAAACATTATGGCCTGTGATTTCGATGATAATAAATGGCAGGAGTTATCCCGACATAACAGATGGAGGAAACATACCAAAACAGCAAGCTCTTTTTTCGACATGGAGGACAATCGGAAGGTGCCCCCCATCTCCAGTGAGGCTGCGGAGCACACTGCCCACTCCGGAATGCAGGCCTCATGGCACAGCCTTTGCCTGTCATTTACAAAGTTGCCACCAAGTGACCAAAGCAAGCGCGTGAGCGAAAATAAAATTCTGGGGCTAAGGCTAGGAACTGGAGAGACAAAACATGAGTGCTCGGTAGGACAGAAGCCTCCTATTTGCTAATGCCCCGCACCAAGTTGGGTAACCATTTGGGGAAGGAGCCTGTGACTTTTGGTCTCTGGAGAGACAGGCTAGTTGTGAATAAGTTAAGTCATTGTTTGAGACCAGATGCACCCCTCCCCCCAGGGGCAACACAATGGCAAGCCTGTTCTGAATTTGCAAGCGGGACAACACCTAAGCCACAGGCTGGGCATTTGATTTTATGACCTTGAGTAATTTTGTGCTTTCCCCAGAAAGTTTACTTGTAGAAAAATGAGCTAGAAGGAAGAAACTTCAGATTATCTTACCCAGGACAAATAGGAGTAAAAATGCCTGTTAGGTAGGTGAAGAACATATGCCAATAGCTTCCCTCAACTGTCACAAGCAGGGAACTTGTCCCAGGGTTTCCCTGATCCGCTGGCCTGAGAATACGTGTAGGTGTATAAATAGGTAGGCTGTTGTGCAAACAACACATCCTGTTTTCATGGTTTGTGAAGTAGTTTCATGTGGTAAAAGCACTAGCAGGGGGAGTCAGGAGGCCTGTGTTCTAGCCACAGTTTAGCTAATAGCAGAAGGTGTCCTGGGAACAGGTCGTAGCTCTTCACCAAGCCAGAGCTCCTGTTTCAGTAAACCTGTGTGAGATTTAGAAGCTCCCATGTAAATTCTGATGCTCAAACTGGTTGGGAACCCGCGGACTAAAGGCCTAAGAGCCCTAGAGGCCTTTACTCTATGCCTCTTGGTTCCCTGGCTGCCCCCAACATGCGCTGACCTCTGCCCCCAGGATAGTCTAGGTTTGCCCATGGGTTCCTGGCCCTCTTTGGTTGGAAGACTTTTTTGCATCTTTTCTTGCACCTAAATGCCATTTTTACCTGTTTTGAGCAAATACTAAAAAGAATAACAACAATAATAACATTCCTCAGTGGGCAGTTATAAAAAAATATAGTGGTAGCTTTAGGTCTAATTTGTCTTATAAAATACTAAGTGGTGCTTTCACAAATATCATTTCTTTACAGAACTTATTCATTCAAAATTTCAAATATCTTTTACCCCACAGAAAGAATAAAAATGACATAAGCAAACTCATCTTCAAAAGTGGAGATTTCCAAATGTCCCCATATGCTGAGTACCCCAAGAACCCTCGCTCACAAGAATGGGGCAGAGAAGCTATTGAAATGCATGAGAATGGAAGTACCAAAAACCTCCTCCAGATGACGGATGTGTATTACTCGGTGTGTATACCTGTGTCTAGGGCCACCTCAGGCTCCAGCTTCCTTTGAGAATTAAAGGGATTCTTTTTTGCTGTAGTAAAATCACTACAGCTAGTTAAGAGTTAATGAGAATAATGGCCTAAACCTCTTATTCACATAATTCAACACTCAGTTCACTTATGATCTATTTGCATGGTATTTATTGGTTTAGACATTGAGATACGAAGGCTTTTTCCACAGAGCACATTACTTTTTCGGGGTTGTGGCAGTGAGCCTCTGATTACTGACCTTGCTTTTAAGTTACAGGATTGGATACTAAAAGACGGAGGAAGAATTTGGTGACACTTAGCCTTCGGCCCTTTCCTTTTTGATCTCGTCTGCCTCACTTTACCTCCTGTAGTTGGGAAGTTGAAACTGAGGGGTTGGAGAAAGGTATAGAGAACAATTCAATGTCCTCCTCAACTAGCACTTCTCAGAGGTTTAGAAGATTATGTAATCAGTAGGTGTTTAATAATTTGCTACACCCAGTCCTGGACTGTGTCCCTTGGATAGATGGGAGGCTCCCTTGAGCCTTTGCTTCTTTTGTCCCACATTGAAAAATCCATGTCACAGTCCCGTGCACTGCTCAGTTCATTTCACATTACACTGTCAGCCATAAACATTCAGCCATACAGGAATATCTGAGCTGAAAAATAGATGTCAGGCCATGTGAGGCTGAGCTATAGCAATAAACATGAAACCTTGCCCCATAGGGACTTAATAACAATAGGCAATCCTGTGACAGAAACCACAACCCCTCTGGTTGCTATGGGGATTAACCATGACGGTTCAGACTTTGGAAGGGAAGGGCAAATTTGTTCATGCTAAGAAAGCCATCGTCTCGATGGACTCTGAAAAATTTCAACCAGGAGGAAGAACAAGAAGACAAAGGGGAAAGATAAATGTGGACACAAACTTAGCTCTAGTTCAGATGGGTCTGTTGATCTTTCTGCATAACGGGTTTCTTTGATTCTCTGTCAGGAAAGTCCTTTTGCTCTAATAACTGCAGGAATAACTAAGCAGGTGTCTTACCCAGGAGCGACCACACACTCACACCCTTTGTGCAAGTGTCCTCAGTCCCAGCATGGTATCATAACATAGCAACAAACAGGCCTGCAGAGACATAGGACCCCTGTGTGTTTCCATGGCATTAGCTAAAGAGTTGCCATAAATAAGTTTAGATAAGAACTGAAATGAACCTGTCTTCATCTCAAAAATAGGCTGAGCACTCTGTAGAAGCAGAGACTAAGCTATGGCATGAAGCTATCACCTCTGTGAGAGCTCTGCCTCTTATGGTGGTCTCAGGTATACATTGTGCTTTCCTAGAATTTGCATTTGTTATACACAGTACCTAGTGCTTATTTCTGGCAGGCAGGCATTATGCCCTGATGGCTACAAATGAGGGCCTCTTCAAAATAGCCATGTCATTCCTTGGGAGCTTCTTTTGCACGTTAGATAGATAGTCAAGGTCTACTAAGCTGATACCTGGTTAAAGATACCAATAATTGCTGTTGGTTTCCTACTTTGGGATCCTAACTCCACCTCTCACAGGCAGTCATATAACCTTTCACAGAGTTGAGTTCAGCTCATGCCAGAGAGGATTTAAAGCTATTGTGTTCCACAGAAAAAGACACTTTTTTAAAAGGTCAGGCTAAAAATCCAGTCAGGATGGTGCCATAGGTAAACATGACTTGCCTCCACACACAACCACATCAAAGTTACAATGCAACTATAGGACAACCACCACTCAGAAGCATCAGAAATAGAGTTGAATGGAAGTCTGACAACTATGGAATTAAAGAAACCACATCCATCCAGACTGGTAGGAGGGGTGGAAGTGCGGAACAGACTGGTCCCACATCCACGTGTGATAGATAAAAATTAGGGAGCAATATCTCCAGAGCAATGAGTCCTGGTCCCACAGCCCAGTGTTCCAGTGCCAGGAAGATATGTGCCTTAAAGAACCCACACATGGAATTACTCAGACTCCCTCCCTGTGAGTTCCAGCAGTGGGGTAGCAGTTTGAAAAGCACCAGTGGCATAAAGGGAGGAACAAGTGTCTGGCATCAGGGCGACAGCTGGGGGACAGCTTTCTCCCAGACAGAAAGGCAAGTAGACGCCATTGTCCCTTTTCTGAACCCTTCCCCCACAGAGCCACAGAGCCGACAGGTGTGTGCCAAATCTGTTATTCCATCAACCTTGTTAACACTGTTTATGGGATCCCCTGAGACTCTGTCCCACCCAGCTGATGGGCCCACCCAACCTGTTAACAATGACTTTTCCATAGGAACTGCTGGCCTAGGTGCCTGTTTCACAACTTCCTAAATCCTCTCAAGCAAGCAACAGCTGGCCTCAAAGAGCTCCCAGCTCCCAAACCTCTTGCTAAGTGGCCCCAGGCCTGGCACTAGCAACAGCCAGCCTAGGTTCACAGCTTGGCTTTGCCTGGGAATCTCCAAGTCCAGCGTAAGTAGCAGCCACCTCAGATAGTTTTATAGCTCATGCAGAGGAACTTCAGAAAGAACACAGGTGAGGGCTACCTTTGCCTGAACAACCTCGGAAACATCAGAGCCTATGCACCCAGTGGACAGCTACAGACCACATCGGAGCACCACCACCTGCCCCCAAACAGCTGATTCTCCGTAGAGGGCAGAGTTTGGTAGTCAGTGGTCATAGCCAGTCCTTGCAGCTGATTGGCCTGGGTAGATCCCTTCCATTGACCTGCCAGCAGCAATCAAGGCTCAACTACAAGAGGAATGTAAACACAGCCCACACAAAGGGTGCACCTTGAGTACTCAGCTTGGGTGATAGGGAAGGCTCTGCCACTGGACCCTACAGGACACCTACTACATCAGGCCACACTACCAAGACAGGGTGTCATAGCAGCTCCACCTAATACATAGAGACAAACACAGGGAGGCTGGCAAAATGAGGAGACAAAGAAACATGGCCCAAATGAAAGAACAGAATAAAACCCCAGAAAAAGCTAAATGAAATGGAGACAAGCAATTTATCAAATGCAGAGTTCAAAACACGGGTATGAAGGATGCTCAGAGAACTCACTGAGTACAGCAGAAGCATAAGGGAAGAAATAGAGGCTACACTGAGTGAAATACAGAAAAATCCACAGGAAACCAACAGTGAAGGGAAAGAAGCCAGGGTTCAAATCAACAATTTGGAATATAAGGAAGAAATAAACAGTCAATCAGAACAGAATGAAGAAACGAGAATTAAGGAAAAACGAGGAGAAAATAAGACAACTCTGGTACATCTCCAAACGTGCCAACATCCAAATCATAGGGATTCCAGAAGGAGAAGAGGAAGAGCAAGAAATTGAAAAATTCGAAAAAATAATTTCAGAGAAAACTTCCCAAATTGGGTGAAGGAAATAGACATACAAGTCCGGGAAGCACAGAGGGTCCCAAATAAGCTAGACCCAAAGAGGACACATCAAGACACATCATAATTAAAATGCCAAAGGTTAAAGATAAAGGGAGAATCTAAAAAGCAGCAAGAGAAAAACAGTAAGTTACCTACAAAGGAGTTCTTATAAGACTGTCAGCTGATTTCTCAAAAGAAATGTTACAGGCAAAAAGGGGCTGCAAAGAAATATTCAAAGTCATGTAAAGTAAGGACCTATAACCCAGATTACTCTATCCAGCAAATCTGTCATTTAGAATAGAAGGGCAGATAAAGTGCTTCCCAGATAAGGTCAAGGTAAAGGAGTCCATCCTCACCAAGCCCTTATTATAAGAAATGTTAAAGGGACTTATTGACGAAAAACAAGAAGATCAAAACTATGAACAGTAAAATGACAACAGACTCACAACTCTCAACAACTGAACCTAAAAAACAAAAACAAAACCTAACTAAGTAAACAACTAGAACAGGAACAGAATCACAGAAATGGAGATCATTTGGAGGGTTATCGGCAGGGAAGGGGAAGGGGGAAAATGGGGGAAAAGATACAGGGATTAGGAGGCAGAGTTGGTAGGTACCAAATAGACAAAGAGAGGTTAAGAATAGTATAGGAAATGAAAAGCCAAAGAACTCATATGCACGACCCATGGACATGAACTAAGGGAGGGGATTGCTGGAGGGAAGGAGGGTACTGGGCAGAGGGGAGATGAAAGGGGAAAAAAATTAGGACAACTGTTAATAGCATAATCAATAAAATATAATTAAAAAATGTAAAAAAAAGGTCAAGCTAATAATCAGATAACAATCTTGGTAATAATAAAAATCATAATTAGTGCAGGTTTTTTCCCATGCTGGTCTAAAATCACTTCATTTGATGTTTTTTCCATAAAGAGATGGCCTGGGGGAAGGTCCTGACTTCCGCGGCAGACCTTGCTCTGCTGTGTATTAGCTGCCTCCATCTGAGGTTTATTAAAACAGAGCATTCTTTAAAAAAAAGTGTGTGTGTGTATATATACACATATATTTAAACCGTGAATAATAAATTTATTTTCTTTTCTCTTTGGCCACCAGCCCACAAGTGTAAGGAATCCTGAACTTGAACGAAATGGACTCTACCCGGCCTACACTGGGTTGCCGGGATCACGGCACTCTTGCATTTTCCCGGGACAGTATAACCCGTCTTTCATCAGTGATGAGAGCAGGAGAAGAGACTACTTTTAAGTGAGAAGAGAGAGGAGCCCGTTGCCCTGAGCGAGTGGCTCGAGACCGCTTTTGCTCTGAGGACTGCCCCAGGGGGCGCCCCGCCTGCCGGCTGCTCCCCGCTCCCAGACTTGTGCAGCCACACGGGAGTGGCAGGCAGAGATTGGGACCGGTGTGGGGGCCTGGCCACAGCAGAAGGGGACAGACAGAACCTGTGGACATGACACTGTAGGCCGCCCATTTGTTGTTACTGTGAATGTGAACATGGGCCAGTACCAGGAGCGCCTCTCTCAGTGACTGCAGCTTGGCCACTGGCTCCAGGGACGATGTCAGCTCGAACAGACCATTAGGCACCACTGTAAGGACCCAGTTTTTCCTTAGTTTGCACTTTAGTAAGTTGGGTAGGGAGGTCTCCTTTTGGAGTTTTTTCAAGACTGTTCCAGAAAGAAGGCCTCTTTTCCCCAGACACTTCCATAGGCCTCAATTTGGTGATTAATTTACAGCACAATACCAGCTCTTTAGTTGTTTTTCTGCCCATTATCTATGTGCTAAACAACAGACGATGGTGATGAACGTACCACTAAGGTTTGGTGATGCTGTAGGTTATCGTACAATAGTTTAACATGTTGCTAGGTTTTTTTGTTCTACAGTTTCCAAGCCAGCCCCTAAAATGAGAAATCAAAACTTGTGAGGCACAGTGCACAACTCCAGTTTGTTTGTTTTTTTTCAGTCAAGGTGACACACAGATTTAAGATTACTTTTTCCCTTTGCAGTTAAATCTCACTTCTCAAGTAAGTCCAGATCAGGGTAAAATAGCTTGCATTTGGTTTTAGTTAGAGGCATCCAGCTGCCCTGCAAGCAGCAACAAGCGGGCACTGGGGCTGAGGGAAGGCCCTGGAGGGAGAGATGCAGGCGGTGGGGCGCTTCTCATCCCTGAGGATGTGGCGTGGGGCCTGGGGCCCCGACCTTCGTATTTGAGGCTGAGGCTGCTCCATATGGAGTGGAAATGGAAAGCTGAATGCAGGTTGGGTCTGAGCTGGTGTTTCACCACTACGAGAAAAGCAGCTTACTAGTCCCTACAGCTGAATGTGGTTAGAGGAATGAGCTGAATAGGCAAGTTCCATTTCCTGAAACACCAGTGCTTGGGGAAGCCGCGCAGATTCCTGAGAATGAATAGGGAGCTGCGATGGAGCCACACGTAAGTCTGCTTACCTCCGAGGGCTGCATCTTTGATTGTACCCCTGATCTCATTCACAAACTCGGTATAAACTCTCAACCACCTGCTCAAAGCTAGCTATTCACTGAAGAAGTAATTTATGTTCACTCATCCAGTAATTTGTACCTCTTTATACTACTATATCGTTTTCCTCAGAAACATGGTTCTAATTCGGGTCAGTGTTGGAGACTAAAGACTTCTGGACAGGTTGGGGAGAGAGAGCTTGCCCTCGGGAAGGAAATGTCACGTGTCTTACTATGCCTGTGCTACGGGTCCTGCGAGGGGCCACATCCAGTGCTCGGTGTCTTTAACTGCTCCTGTGATTATTCTTGTCATCTGCCTTTGAAACATCCTAGTTCTGAGTGAAGTGAAGAGAACACAGAGGTAAAAGAGAACTGTTCCTACCCTGAAGCTTGGAGCTCATTGGAACCCCTATTTTTGGAAATGGGGTAGACTTTGGGGACAGCTTTGTCCTGGGCATGGCTGTTTCTTCAAGGTTCTCTAATCTCTTCAGAATGTATCTAATCCTTATTCTAACAGTTTTAAGTGCAAACTCCTGTGTCTGGTGGGCTCCACAAGCCATCATCCCCCTGCTGCAGCAGGAACTTGAGTCAGGTGTCAGGCCTCTTAGAAATTAATTTGCACTCAGCTCATGACATAGATACAAAGAGAATTCTGTTTTTGTCACCGGAAGCCAGCTTAAAATTTCAGAGCATCGCCTTTTTGAAATCTTGGGTCTTGCATCTCTCTGTGGAACCAAACAGCCTTTTGTGCCTCATGGCCTCACATCTAACTGGAGAGCTCTGAGCTCCTGCACTCAGCTCACCTGAGCCAACAGACTTGAGGTGGCCAAGCTTCCTGGCTCTTGATCAGATTCTTGTTCATTCCCAGGACCCCGAGTCCCAGGTGGGGCTATTCTCAGGCCTACGTGCATCTGCCACCGTTAAGCTCACATCACAGCTGACAAATCATCTCCTATATCTGGGCCAGAAGCTACAAGCACCACAAAATAATGTGTCCTGTCCTAAAAGCATTCTTGAATTTCAGGGCCCAAAAAAGAATTTCCTGTGTGCTCCAAGAATACTTTCCTATGAATGGGTTTTGTGCATATGAAGTGGATCAGGAATGTTGTTTTACTTTTACTGTGAAAAAAGCAAGCACCCTGCAAGGCTGAGTTCACATAGAATGCACAGTTTCTAGGAAGCATGTGATGGTAGGGAAAGTGCATCTCTAGAGCACGAGGGTGTAAGAAGGCATAGAAATAGCTTGACTGTCAGCCAGTGCCAACTGCCCTCTGACCCTAAGGGAGGAAGGGAGAGCCTGGCTTCACTTCTGCTTGGGTATAGTACCTCCAGAAGGGTGCTGTCTGGCAAGGGCAGACCCCTGGTAGGGCAGCTCTGGACTCAAGGGACAGGTCTGGTTGCACCCCTGGCAAATAGAAGCTCTTAGCTCCGACACGCATTTTCAGTGTCAGCCCCTGCACCTGGAATGTGTGCACACAGAAATGCCACAGTCCTGCGACTTGGGGTGGGGTGGGGCAGGGCACAGGTGGGGGAAGGTGGGAGGAAGGGAAGAGTAGCACTTCACTGCCCATGAGACCCTTAAACTTTTGTAGAGAAGAGAGGGGCCAGATAGAACCCACCTGTCCTGCAGCATTCCTGAGCAAGGTGACTCTTAGAGCAGGGCAGTGCTCACCTGTTGGCCTCCTAGCATCTGTGGGCTTTGTTAAACTCTTAAGCCAAAGTCTTATTCCTCATGTCTTTTTCCCTTTTCCCCATGAGCCAGGCCACAGCTCTAGAGACAGACAGGGAATCCGAATAGTCACATGGCATCTCCGGTGTTCCCACCATGGCCGGGCTCTGTGCAAGGTACTTGGCCTCGCAAAATCCCTGTGAGGTGGGCATGAGAGTGCCCATTTCTCAGACTTGGGAAACTTCAGAGCATGATTGCCTTGGAGAGCCAGGATTCAAACTCTTTTGCCTGGCTTCCTTGCCTCACCATCCCTCCCTGCCTCACCATCCCTGTACTTCAAATGTCAAAGGGCATGAGAGAGTGGGTTTTAAGTATGTTATTGTTTAAAAAAAGAACCATAATGTCATTAAGCAATAACTAATGACGTGAAATGCCAAAAAAAGTTAAATCCCCTTTTGAAAAAGTTTTTTCAGGTTTATAATTACACCTGTTTCTTGTGGTCATCAGGAAAATGGCGGCTGGCTCACGCTTAGCAAGAAGCATGTTGGTAGGCGGCTTTGGGTGCGGGAGTGAGGTGATGACCTGGGGTTTTGACACACACAGCCAGACTTACACGTCCATTTAAGGGCTGACTTGTCTTGTTCCCATGGTAAGGCTGTGACATGACTCCCACATATTGGAAGTATGTTTTCGTGAATATTATCAGAGTCAGGAACATATTCAGTTGAATGTCTTAAATGCTGACAAATCTTCCTCCTTCCACAAAAGTTTATTTTCAAAAGTAGCTATGTCATTTAGAGCCAAAATTGCTGAGTGGATAGTGTAATCAAGTTGGCTGATAGGATTGGAGTCAAAAACTACGATGTGATTGTTAAGTTCTTGAAGAGATAACTGTTAAAGTTGGCCCAAAAGGGAGGGCAGCATCTCTTCAGTACAAGGCTGGAGGGCCACCCAAGAAAATGCCTTTGAAGGATGACATTCTGATGTGAAAGTTCCTGGGGCAGACACAGTAGGGTCTTGCACGTGGCTTTTTGGGGCCTCTGTTTAGCCACCTTCCCACTGGTGAAGTGCCCGGGTGCCCTGCAGTTCTGTGGGCCGCCCGGAGAAGCTAGAGCTGTAAAGTCCAGTTGCTCCTGGCTTAGTTTAGCCTAACACGCCCAAAACTTGGGTTTCACCCATAGTTCTAAGATACACTGATTTGAAAACTAAAGCAATTCTTTGGAGATGGAGAATTCAATATTTTGCATTTTATTTAAAACTACCCTTAATATCAGAGATATTTTTCTATATGAAAACTTGTGGGGATTAGAAGGGACATTTTATTTCATTCTGGGCTTCTTGTGTATGTTTTTGAAAAAAGATGTATGGTTCTGTAGAGTCGGCTTTTGAGTATAATGTGTATTCTTTTTTTCTTCTTCTTTTCTCCAATACCCAGAGAAGGAAACTGGTTAAAATACTAGGAACGTTAAAGTATTAAATGTCAGTTAATTTGTTGTGCTAAAATATCTTTTTAGTAGTATTACGGAGTATCCTATTTGGTGTAAACTGAGCACAGAAAAGTCTGTGAAGCCAAAGGTGACGGTTTAGGTCTGAAAAGAGATCTTAGACTGAATCTGTCCCTTTGGCATTAGATTCTGTTTTTGAAGAGGACACATTAGCTTCTGGTTTTATTTTATTTTTTGGTGGGGGCGGGGGGGAAACATCAAATGCACTTCAGATGCAGAATTATTGGGTAAGAAGGATGGGACCACACAGGGATGGAATGGAACCAGTCTACCTGGGAAACTAACATGCCTCCCTTATCTTTCTGTATTACCTTGGTCTGTTCCTTGAAAAAAAAAAAAAGAAGAGGAGTTCTTTCAACATGGGTTGTTGTGAGTTTTCTTAATGTTTGTGTTGCTGGATTTACAGTTAAATGAAGCATGTAGCTGGAATATGAATTTTTTGAGTTTCCACGTCCTAGATTTCTCTTTGCAAACCTTTACACCTTAGCCCCTGATTGATTGTGTTAAATCAATTATGAGAATGTTATTTAAAGTTGTATTATAATTGCAACCTCCACTAATTATTCAGTACTGTAGCAGCAAAATATTATTTGTAAGAATATGGTTATTTTTATACCCACTATAAATCTGGCGTTCTAGTCAGTAAAATAATGCAATAAAATAAGTGTCATTTTCATTGTGTGTTTTTCTCATAAAAACCAGCAAACCAGGCAGTACAGCAACTTGTTTTTCATGAGGGCATCACGTAAACCATGGCACTGTTTACAGTGAACCCTTAACGGTAAACTCACCTGGCAATTGTAGGGACTTTCTGTATCCTCAGTGCCCAACACAGTGAGGAGATATACTTTTGATGATGGATGGATGGACACACAGATTGACCTAAATGATAAAAAGCCTAATTCAGGTATAACAACTACTTTTGTTCACTTTTCTTTCTGTGGATTGAGAGCATAAGTAACCATTACAGACACAGAATTTCCACCCGGATGCCTCCCACTACCACTCCATGCCAGTTCTTTGAGTGAGTATATCTGTGCTCTGTGGTGAAGAGAACCTGTGGAACTTGAAGATGGTGGGCCATGGGCCTTACACTTACAGTGGCCAGTGAATGCGGCCGCCTGGCTAGATACGTGTTAATCAGTTGTTTCCTTGGGCACGTTTTGTGGCAGGGATGGGTGAGCCCCTCGGAGTCTGCAGCTCTGTAAGAGAAACTCGGCCCTGGGAGAGACCCACAGTGGCTGCGTGGGACATAAAGGTGACCTTTGGGCAGAGGAGGTGAGGACTGCAGCCCATCACACATCTCAGAGGAGAGGACGGCAGCGCTCCGCTGCGGACCCGGCCTCCCTCCCGGCCTCCCAGGCAACCCCGCCTGAGCTCTTAACAGAAACCCAGCAGGAACCCCTTTGTTGTCCTGCCCAGCTCAGCTAGACACTATAAACATCACAGATGCCAGGAATAAAGGTATTCGTGTTGCTTGTTATTGACTTCATAAAAACTTGCACAGTCAGGAGGCCTGGATTTTGACAGCTGGTACAAGACACTTTTCTAACAATGTCACAGTTTTCTGACATTGTGCTGTCAGGCCTAAGAGTCTGCTCAGCTCTCTGAGGCTCAGGGTCCTGATCAGTGAAGTGGGGATAATAATTACTGCCCCCTAAAGTTGCTGGGAGGATTAAAGGGGAGAATTCATATGAAAACACTCCATAAAATACAAAGGAACATAACACATACTGATTCTCTTCAGTAGGGCCCTCTTGTCACCAAAAGGAAGGCAGGCAATTGTGGGATTAATATGTCCTTTCAATGACGATTCACTAGTAACTGGTCCTGAAAACCCTGGACTTGATTCAACTTCTTGGAAATCAATGACATGCATTCATGTTACCGAATGGGGACTGGGCCCAAAGCAAGTCTGCCTTGGGCCAGCCAGTAGTATGTGAGAGTTCTTTGACTTCACCTAGGAAAGATCTCGCTACATGAGAGTCCAGGTGATTTTGAGGGTATGTTTATTAAAGCTGGGGACAGTGAAATGAAGGAAGGGCTTAGGAGAAAAGAAGCAACTGGGGAGAGCCTAGGCTGCTTTGGTTCCCTAGAAATGATATTGGAAAGAAATGAGGCTAGGCAGCTGCTTTGCTCACTGAGAAATGAAAGAGTGAAAGAGGTGAGCCAAGATGGGGCTGCTATGAGCTCACTGGAAAGTCAAAGAAAAAGGGAGATTTGGAGACAGGGTCAGGGGGTAAGTCCAGACAGGCTGCCACTACCCACTGCTCCCCTGACTGCAAGACTCATGGGAACCCTTAGAGTTTAGGAGAAAGAAAACAGATACACAGCTAAGGGAGAAAGGCATGGGCGTGCTCGTGAAAGAATGCATGCACTCCAGGCTTTTTATTTTTAGCTGATGGGAATCGTGTGGGAGATCTCAGGGGAGGATTTTAACACTATTCATTAGCTTTCCAGGTGTGTCCTTCAAGATCTTGATTCATTAAAATGTGCATATAGGGGGGTCAGGGTTATTGTCTGTTTAGTTTCATTTTTAAGAAACATCATCGAATAGGGACCAGGACTGAGGCCAATCTGCCCTGGCATGGTCTAGAATGTGTAAAACATTTACTCCTAAGTGTTCTTGGTTGGGGAATATAAAACCTTGACATTCATTAGTTGGCTGTAAATTGCTCAAACTGTTTGGCCTCATTTAATCATTTTGTCTCTTTCCCTTATTCCACTTGCCAAGCAATTTCTCTAGCTTCTTCTTATCTTGCCTCAGTGATGGAAAGCAGAATTATCAAAGTAGGTATTGACCTGGGCATGATAAGAAATATCATACATCAAAGGTGACCCGTAGCCTGAGCAGAAGTAGGGCATTCAGGATTTTCTAAGGGGATGGCTCGAGGAGAAGAAAGATGCAGGGAAACCTCTCCAGGTGAAGTGGATGTAATATCCTTATGGGAAGCATCAGTACTAAAGTTAGAACTAATTTCAATGGAGAAGAGAGATACTTCAGGACATTAGAGAGGAGAATTTTTCCTTAAAAAAATACTAAGCATAGTTCTGACCGGTGTGGCTCGGTTGAATGTTATCCTGCAAAGCCAAAGGTTGCCAGTTCGATTCCCTGTCAGAGCACATGCCTGGGCTGTGGTCCAGTCCTGGTCAACGTTTCTCTCCCTCTCTTTCTCCCTTCCTTTCTCCCTCCCTTCCTGATCTCTAAAAATAAATAAAATCTTTTGTAAAAAGTTTTTTTAAACACTAAATACAAATTCAAATTACCCTAGGAAACATAAAATACAGAATCCCAGAATCTCACATTTGGAAGAGATCTTAGCCATTGTTTATTCCAACTATCCTTAAAAAGCACTTAAATTCCCTCTCCTCTGAGTAGCTGTCCCAGGAATAGGGAGCTCATTTGCTTGGAGGAAGCCCCCTGCTTATCTCAATAACTCCAACTACTAGAAAGTTCTTTCCTACTTTCAACCAAGTAATCTCCTCCTTCTTGGACAAGAGTCCTCTTGAAAGGGGCAAGGAGCTTGAAGAGGGTGAAGTACTGGATTTAGGTTAGGGCTCTATAAGGACAGATTTGAGCAAAGCTGAACAGGAGAGCGGAGAGGTGAGGCTGGGAAGAAGGGTCTGTATGAAGGCAGCAGGCTCCAGATGCAGACACATACCAGTGATACGGGACAGGTTCTTCTGCTCTGGATGAGCCACAAGCAGCTTCTCAGGGACACTCGGAAAATGTGTGAGGAGAAAGAGGTCCTTGCCCACTTCTGCCACCTTCTCCCCAGCTGTCCCTGCGAGCATGGTGCAGGAACGGCATAGACTGACAAGGCTGTGGGACAGGACAGATGGCCCTGGGCACTCATGCAGATTTCCTGGATTCACATCCCCACTTACTAGCTCTGTGACCCTGAGCAAGTTATTTTTAATTCCTCAGAAGTAATAATGTAGAATCTACCTCTTAGATTTGTCATACAAATTAAATGAGTCAATATCTATAAAACTTATACCAGTATTTTACATGTAGTAAGCGCTGTTATTTATATTTGTTAAATATAAAACATTTTGAAGTTCAAACTAAATCATTGAATCATGACTTGGGTTTCATGATTTATATAGCCAATTTCATGTACTCTCATGTTTCTTTTTTAATTATATTCCTGACAACGTCCTAAACTCTAAAGCATGTTGCAAATCACATTATGAAAGAGGCATTATAACAAAAGCCGCTAAGAGTAAATTTTAAAAATTTTCATCACCAGAAAAATATTTTTTATAACTGTGATGGATGTTACCTAAATTTATTGTAGTGATCATTTCACAATATAAGCATCTATCAAACCATTATGTTGTATACATAAAACTAGTACAATGTTACATATCAATTATATATCATTTGGTGAAAAAAATAAAGACAAAGTCTTCTCCTGAAGGAGGAAGAAAGCAGGTGATAAGGGTTGAAAGGAGGAGGGGAGAGAATATCTGAAATGGCTGATTAACAACACAGGAGGGAGTTGATTCAGAACATGGAGGAGTATTGGACACAGGTTGAGAACAGCAGGTTTTGTGGTAGCAGCAGTCCCTACATAAAATCATTTTACTCTAGGCCTGGATGGTGTGTCTCAGCTGGTTGGAGCATCATTCTATGCACTGGAAGTTCGTAGGTTCAATTCCCAGTCAGGGTACATACCCGCATTGTAGGTTGCTCCCCAATCGGGGTGCATGCGGGAGGCAGCCAGTGAGTGTTTCTCACATTGATGTTTCAGGGTGTGTGTGACTCTGTGTGTGTGTGTGTGTGTGTGTGTGTGTGTGTGTGTGAAATCAGTAAATATATTCTTGGGAAAGGATTTTAAAATAATAATAAAAATATATTTAAAAAATTCATTTTACTCTAGCAGAGCTCAGCAGTGGATATTAGAGTATAGAAGGGGCCAATGGGTTGACCCAGAATTGAGATTTTGTTTGGTTGGTGGCACCAGAATGGGAGAGTCCTGGCTGAGGACTTAACCTTGAGCCTGTGGGTCTGGAGTCAGAAGAGGGCTGGGGAAAATGAAGGGCCAACAAAGGTTACTATCTTCAATCCATAAAATACCTAAACGTCTCATACACGTCAACTAGAACATTATGAATAATGCTTCCCTTAAAGCAATAGACAAAAATCAGTTACAGGAACTACAAATAACCTAACAAATATATGAGAATGTTCAGTCACATTAGTGATCAAATAAATGAGAATTTAAACACTGAAGTATGCTTTTTTTACCTGTCATGGAAGGGAAAAATGCCTACTTTTTAAAAATGGAAATGCTTCATGCTGATGGATGAGAGGAAAACTATAGGGGTGTAAATTGTTATACATCTTTAAAAAGATAATTAGGCAATAATTTCTAGAAGATTTACAAATTCTTAACCCTTGATTTGGTAATTTCACTCCATGGAATTTATACTAAGGAAATAATGCAAAGCCAAAATCAGAAAGGGGAGAGGTACACCCTTCTCACTCCCTTGCCTCCCAGCAAGCTCTATGCTTGTATCCAAAGATCTAAGTCAGATTAACCTTCAGAAATAAGAGAACTCTGAGGCCAGAGGCTCTCTGTCTCCTGCTTTATAGCATCCCAATAATGCAAGATTTCTCAGTCTACTTCTCTACAGAGGCAGGTAAGTCAAAAGCCACCCCCCTCCCAACTTCATTGCTATTGATTCCTACATTTCTATAATTCTTAAATTTCTATTAGCTCCTTGGTGATTCTCACTCACTAGACTGAACTCCTCAAGGGCATGAATCTCAGCTTTACAGTATTTATCTATTTGTTTCATATTTACCTCTACTCTCTTTTGCTAATACTTAAATAGTAGATGCCTAATAAACCTTCATAG